TCTATCTGGCCCTATGTTCAGAAAAAAAAGATTTATACATGCTTTTTTTTTTTGTTTTGTTTTGCATGAGTACAAACTGGTCATTACCGGTCACAGCCTGGGCGCGGGTGCAGCTGCAGTGCTCGCCATCCTATTGCGCAACTCCTTTCCCACTCTTCAGTGCTATGCCTTTTCTCCACCAGGGGGACTCCTGAGGTAAGAACGGCTGGTGGGATTCTTTGGGACTGAATTTAATGGTGGAGGATGAAGGGAGCATGAGTACCATCCTGAAAGGGCAAAAAAAATAAATAAATATAATTGTGCCTTTTGTCTTCAAGTTTCAAGCATCCACGTTGGTACACTGCATGGATGCTCGCAATTATTAGATTTGCCTTTTCTCCACCAGGGGGACTCCTGAGGTAAGAAAGGCTGGTGGGATTCTATGGGGCTGAATTTAATGGTGGAGGATGAAGGGAGCATTAGTACCATCCTGAAAGGGCAAAAAAATAAATACATATAATTGTGCCTTTTGTCTTCAAGTTCCAAGCATCCACTTTGGTACACTGCACGGATGCTCGCAATTATTAGATTCGATTTTTCGTTACGTTTGTTTCCAGAATCAGAATCATCTATACATTATCGTATTGAATGTCTTTGGAAGGAGCTGCAACATACCTTTTGGAGAAGGCGTCCATCAAACCTAAGACAACTGTAGTCGTTTGCTTAGGAAAATATGAAAGGTTTCCAGTTAATTTTTAATTATATAGTGGTACCTCTACTTACGAACGAACCCATCTTTATCCGAAATTTTCAAGTTGTGAAATGCCTCAACAGGAAAATTTTGCCTCTTGTTATGAAAGAAATGTCAAGACACGAAAAGTAAAAATAGAGGTGGCCAGCTTCTCACAGCTCTGAATTTCCTGAACGCAACATACTTAGAAATGCTCTGCCATTGGCTATTACCTAGCATCTTCCTGGCATCCCATTGGCTAAGAGGGACCTCTACTGTATGTGTCTATGTGTGTAGATAGATATAGATGGATATGTGTCTATGCAGCGTCCTCATCCTTCGCCCCTCCGGAGGTGTTCCGTGTTTGACGTAAATGTGAATCACCCAGAAAGTGTCCACTTGTTGCTCAATCGCTCACTATGCTGATGTTTACCTTGGACATTTTCGAAGGATTGTTAAAAGCCGACAAAAGCAAACGTCCTTGGATCAGTTCTTTACAAAACGGCAGGGAAAAACCACTTCCGAGAGAGAACATGAACGAAGAGGGCAAAAAGCTTTGAGAACGTTAAAAGTTAAATGATTATCATTTTTATTCTTTATTCTTTGTTTTTTACATTATGCACAACTCTCATTTGTTGCGCAATAATCTAATTGTAACATGTATTTGTTACATATTTAGATTTTGATTGATGTTACATTTTTATACTTTAGAAAACATTTAGGTCTGAATTTTGGGGGGCCTTGGAACGGATTAAGGCATTTACATGGAAAACGCGACTTACACAATTTTGTAGTGAAGAAATTTCTTCCAGACCCAATTAATTTCGTAAATAGAGGTACCACTCGACTGCCATTGGACCACAAAAATAAAGCAATGACTGATTTTCATGAGTTCATTTTCATGAACCCTTTCAGGGACAGCAGGCACTACAGTGGACAGCTAATCATGTAATCAGGTTATAGGGTGCATGAAAGGGTTAATTTTCAGGAAAATGTAATTTATTATTACTTTGGTTGTTTTCATGTTATTGCTGTGAAACTGGTGGTTTTTTTTTCTTGAATGGAAGATTACCAACGATTTTGTATTCATTTTATATACAGTAAAGCCTTAGCTGATTACTCCAAGGACTTTGTGGTCTCTGTTGTACTGGGAAAAGACCTGGTTCCACGGTAAGTGTGTCACCATCACATGTACTGGTTTTTGAAAAGAGTTGACTTATTGCACTGATTGAATCATTTTATTTCAATGTACTACACCATTATTTGGATGGACTGTGTATCATAGAAAGTGCAACAGGCTTGTGTGTTGTAGTTTCCCAAAATGGACTAAATGAACGCGCCGTGGTGTCGAGACTTTTATAGACGCATGTGTAATGCGGACTATATTTAACACTGCTCTGCTATTACATGCGTAGAGACAAAGACAACTGACAAGCTCAACATTTCGAAGCCTTTCACATGATTGTCTCTCGTGTCATTACCGTATTGTGAAGTCATATTGTCCCCCCTCCCCCATATAGATTGAGCCTACCCAATATGGAGGATCTGAAACGAAAAATACTCAAGATCGTCTCAAATTGCAATAAACCCAAAGTAAGAAGCCATTCAAACATTAATAATACAGCCTTAATATTAGTTGTGTCTCAATGTCCGTTGTGTGTGGGTGTGTGTTGCAGTACCGCATCCTTTTGCAGGGATGCTGGTACGAACTGTTTGGTGGAGAACCAGATGACTCTCCTTCTGAAATGGTGAGCAGGAGGGAAGAGGAGCTTAATCTGCCTCTGCTTGGTGAAGAATCACTTTTGATCCACCAATCGTCATCCTATCAAAGCCTGGCGTCGGACGACTCACCTCTCCACACTGTGCCACACATGCCTTTCTTCCTACCTGGACGTGTTCTGCATATTCTAGAAGATGGGCCCACACGCAGGTTTGTTGCCTACAGATTTTTTTTGAATTCCTAAAATGTATATTTCATATGACTCTCAGCCAATGTAACAGGATGCAGATATGGACATTAACACTGCACTTAAATGTAGGAACATTTAAAAAAAAAAAAATCTGTATTCAATGATTTGATTGAAATGCATTTCACAGAAAGGTTCAATAAAAATCAGACCTAAATAACATTTGAAAAACAAATGGTTCTTCAAGATTAAATGCAAACATATTGCACTAAAAAGTTAAAGACAACTGAACATTATAATGAAGTATTTATCTTGCTTACCTGCAGACATGTGGAGTTGATAAGATAACCTTTATTTGTCCCACACTGGGGAAAATACTAAGATGATACTAATGACCTTGGATTTCTTGAGCACTGCTACTTTTCCCCGCGCATTCAAAACTTGCCAACAGAAAATATATTCAGTCTCCTTTTTTTTCCCCCTCCTTAAAAATTGGCCATTTTCATCACCAACATTTCTCTTTATGGCAGGTTGTGTAAATGACTAGGACTTGGTGACAGCATATCTTTTCCTTCGACTTTGTGTCGCTTCAGAAAGCTGACATGAGCATGAGCTCTACGGTTGCCCATAAGTGATTGAGAAAAAAAACACCAACAAAAAAAATATATGAACACGGTTATGCTGCAATGGATTGTATTTATTCTTAACATTCGAAATATTTTCCTTTTCTCCCAGATCTTGTTTCTCCCAGGTCCGATACCGTGCCGAGTGGTCGAATGAAATGGCCTTCAGAAGTATTTTAATCAGCCCCAGTATGCTCGTGGATCACATGCCGGATGCTGTGCTCCGAGCCCTCAAGAGCCTGACCAGCGACAAGCCCTACTCGCTCTGCCCGTCATCCTCCAACCACAGCCAGCACAACGTTGTCTGAATGTACCACACAACCAGGCCTGTCTTGACTACCATCACAAATTTCCCGTTTAATTTGTAAATAAGGTGTTTGTCTTTCTCCAAGTGGATTCTGTGCCCTCCGATCCTGTTGCTATGCCAATATTTTGTTGCACTTTTACCAACAGACCTGTGGAAACGCCATTGTAGTTGAAATCCCACAGGAAAATGTTTTAAGAAAAAGGCACATTTTTTTTCTTTGCACTTTTAATCATTTTATGGTTTCAGATCTACGATGTCTTTCTGTGAGTTTTAATGGCATGATCTCTTGAATGTGCTTTGTGTACAATATTTCACACGTTTGTACTGTATATATCCTGTAGTATATGTTTGTGTGTGTGATGTGTTGCTGGCGGACTGTGCCCTTGCCTAACGTGCGAAGTGACCACTTGTCTTCCTCGTTGGTTGGAATGATGAAGGATGACAGCTTAATAGGGATGTCTTTGGTTTGATTATCTAAATGTTACGTCTTTGTCTAGTAGTTGTGTTTTCCTGTTTTGAGATGTCAGGGTGAACAGTGCCTACGCTTTATGGTAAAAAGAGTCTGTCAAATTGTTTCGACAGAAAAAAACCCTACTATGTTCTGAGTCTTGCTCAGGATTTCTCCAGCTGATGTTCAGTCGTATGTTGGTGCAAATACAGTAGGAGAAAGACTGTATTCAAATCAGTGCAAGCTGACACGCCATGTTTTTTTTTCCACTCCCAAAACGGCAGTACAGTATTAAGGTTTGAAACTTATGATGCTTTCATCTTCCAGATATATATCGTATTCAATAACATGATGCAAATAAAAGCTCTTGTGGAATGTACTGACTGACATCCTCTTACTGCCCGCTATTAATTTCTCTAAAATTGCATTTGGAACGGTAACGATTTGAAATACAGGCAATGAGAACATCTGAAAGTTTAGTAAAAATCCCTTAAAACAAGCGAAGCCTGTGAGTCAATAGGGTGGAGGCATAAATCATTCATAAATGTTTCCACGATGTCTCAGGATCGGCTGCAGTTCTGACTCCATCCTCCCAGCCCGCTTTAGAATGACGTCACGGCAAGGGACCTTCCCCAACACATGAAATGTTCATCGTCCTCGGAAATTCAAACTTCTTACTTTTTCTCTCGACGAAATTGAGAATGTCGAGGTCTGTATCTGTACATAGTTCTTTGTACCATCAAATTAAAATTTCTTAAATGGTAATATAAAACAATGTTTTCAAAAAAATAAATTTAATCCTATTTAAACGCCTACACATACATGCGCATCCGTTGCGGTCAGTCACAATTTAGCTTGAAAATAAACGATCAATAATTAAATCAGATTAGTCAAACAGGCTTGTGGAATCTCATTTTAAACGTGTTAAAATCATAGTCAAACATGATGTGTAGTGTCTGTACATGCTTATGGTTCGGCGGAGTTCACTGCGTCCTAGTCTTTCCGATTTCTCCTCAATGCAGCAGCAGGAGCTCATCTGTTGGACAGTGAAACTAATCAGGAGCCAAGTAAAGTCTTTTCAGGACTGCTAACAACAACAAGGCTAGCAAAGCTCTTCAAGTCGTCCGCTGAGCAGAGAAGTTCGGACAAGCCAAGCATTATTGACGCTCAGGGCGGACTGTTTCTCCTACGTTACAGCACAGAACACTTGAGCTATGCTTTAGAAACAAGCTCTACTGCTTCAAGAGGAACAAGGTGAACAGGCTCCGGACGTCAATCCGAAGCTCGCGGTTAGCTCGTTCACATTAGCCGGGGGAAGACGTGTGCGGGTAGCGGCCAAAAAAAAAAAAAAAATGGAGTTGGACGACGTCGTCCTCTACCAGGACGACTCCTGCAACTCGACCATGATGTCCGAGCGGGTCTCCGATTTGGCCAGTTCCATATACCGCGAGTTCGAGCGGCTCATCGCGAAGTACGACGAAGACGTGGTGAAGGAACTGATGCCGCTCGTCGTCGCCGTACTGGAGAACTTGGACTCGGTGTTCGCTGTCAACCAGGAGCACGAAGTGGAGCTCGAGCTGCTGAAGGAGGACAACGAGCAACTTGTCACCCAGTACGAACGAGAGAAGTCGCTGAGAAAGCACATTGAAGAGGTGCGTTTCCATGGTACACGCTCTGATTTGCCGCCACAATTTGTGTAAAGCACATAATCCAAGTAAGTGTTGAAATTAAGATTAGTTCTGCACTCCACTTTAAATGAAACCGGTTTCAGAATTACAATACGGAAAATAAAGTGTAACTCTCAGAATTTGACAGCCGTACAAAGTATTTAATTGAACAAGCATTAAACTCTACTGGCAAATTTTGCAACTTGTGTTCACTGTACCTACGGAGGGGGGGTTAATTAGTCTTTATTTTGCTTTGATTTTAGCTTTTTTTTTTTTAATCCACTTGGTTTCAATTAGCTTTTGGAGCGTAAAAAAGTTTAGTGTTTTTTTTTCTTCAAAAATGCTTAATTTTAGAATAGTTTATTAGTTTTAGTTTTAGGTTTAGTTTTTAGTATACAGAGTATTTGTCAAGTAAATGATTTTAAAAAAGGACACACACACACACACACACACGCACACACACTGTCACACACTTTATTTTTGTAAATCTGGGGTGTACAGAAATCAATGAAAGCAAATTTTGTAATAATCACAATTTTTAATAAATGATGGCTTCAATGTTTGCTATTTATGATACAAAGTCTATTAAATGAAGAGTGCCATGAGAGATGCTTTTCATCAACAATATGCAAGTTTAAAAATGTTTGCAAAAGATATGTTAAATATTGCATAATGTCATTACTAATTACTATTAGTGTTGAGATGCTTCACTTCTGAGACAATAATCCATAAAAAGAATTTTAAGGGCTTTCCCTAGCCATGTAAATTTGAGAATTTTCTCAAATTCACACTTTTTAGGTTGGGTGATGCAAAGCATTAATATTCAATGTCTTCGGTGGTAAATATTATTAACCAAATTTAAGTTGTCAGATCATTGTAAACATATTGAGAAAGCAGGCCAAAGTGGCCGATATTACATAATTCACACTTTGTCAAAAATTTTTTCAAAACTGAATCCATCTGATTGGTATCGGCTGATGGCACTCATGGATGATCGGTAGTGTTATTGGCACCTTAAAACCCTGATCAGAATATCCCTAGTCATTAATACTTTTTGGAATATAGATCAGCTATGGTGAATGATATTTTTAATCAGATGTTTTAATTGTCGGTGCTTGAAAGTGTCTTCACATGAAAATGACCATGAGCATTGAAAGGTTTGCACTCTTGTATTTATTTAAAAATATGAGTGTGTGTGCATGTATGAGTGTGCAATGTGCATGGTAGAAGTGTCACCAAGTAAATAATTTTGAGTGATTTATTCTTTGAAGGATTAATATTAAATCTATATACAGTATAACACTATATATTGTACCACTGTAATAAAAAAAAAAAAAAAAAGCTCTCTGTACTGCTAATCCTCACGAGGGTCACGGGTGTGCTGGAGCCTATCCCAGCAGTCTTGGGGTAGTAGGTGGGGTACACCCTGAACTGGTTGATACTCAATTATGGGGCACACAAAGACAACCATTCACACTCATAGTCACATCGATGAACAATTTGCAGTGTCCAATCAACCGACCACGGATGTTTTTGGAATGTGGGAGGAAACCTGAGTACCCAGGGAAAACCCACACAGGCACGGGGCTACCATGCAAACTCCACACAGAAAGGCCACAATCTAGGTTCGAACCCTTGACCTCTGTACTGTGAGGCGGATGTGCTAACCAGTGGTTTACCGTGACGCCCGCTATAATGTTCTTGAGAGAATTTTAAAATTGGCTAAATTAAAAGAACATTTCAGGAAATGAATTTCGACAGGTTGGCTTCTCTTTGAGTGTGATGCGGTCCCAAATTTTGATGCGACTGTGGATAAGATGAGATGGGGGGGGGAGCTAAGCTCCAAAAGGGGGCAAGTCAATTTCTGGTCAAGCTTATCTCAAAAAAGTCCTTAAATCACAACAGATTATTTTCGGGGGATGGATTTTAGTGCTGACATAATTTTTACCTACAGACCTACTATATAAGTTCCAACGTTCAGCCCACTCAAGTGCCCCTTTGAGTGAATTCCTCCTTCTAGTCATGCAAATGTCTTGCAATGACTTTAGAACACATGTTTGTCTTGTTCCTAAGAAATACACTAAGGGTGTGCAGGTGTTGTGCAGAAGCCATGGCAGCAAAAGGCGCACTGAGAACTTGTTGACCCACTGTGCTTTCCTTTTGTTTTGTTTCCTAGCCAATCAGCACTTGATACTTGACCATTCTTCCACACCGCCCTTTTGTTATGGATATGAAGTCACCCTTTAAGTAAAATGTAAGGCTTCAGGGCTCACGACGCAACATTCAGTTGCCCGCGCTTGCATTACTTGCAACTCGAAGTCACCACAAATCTTATTTTATTTACCACGAAGAAAGAGTGAGATCAAGGATACACGCACCAATTATCGGTTTCATGCATAGCATGATGGGGCGTAGACTTTGGATGAAGAATGAAAGGTCTGACATTCGCCATTCAAGCACTAAGTGGTCTGACGAGTTCTGGCTGCTCTTCACACGTATAAATAGAAACTTTCAAAACAAGGTGTTGGAACTCTGTAAATTCAGTGTCCATAATCATCCAATAAGCACTTTTCTGGACACTCGTGACTAAGCAGTTTAGAGACGAGAGACCTTCTAACATCCGGTGTTTGCTGAAGTTGTTGTTTATTTTAAACAGATTCTATTTTGTGTGACTGAACTCTGTAGTCTCAAGGGTTCCTCAAACTTCGTCACGCAATAGATGGCTTCACAAGTAACCATCCCACCTAAGACTAGGGCTAGACGATTATGGGAAAAAAAAACAATCACAAATATTTTGATTGAAATTGAAATCGTCATTATTAATTTTAATTAATCAGATTAAAAAATGTACATACCAGCAGTTCCTGCACGTTTTAGCTTCTTTGGCGTAGTGTGGTGGCATGCATGGATGGAGTCCACACAGAATGAGAACAGAAGAAGTTACGATTGAACTCTATTAATCTAAATTGTTTTTGATTGGGAAGAATTTATGCCATTGACGTTAGTGTGATCTTACCTGTGTGTATACAAAAATACAAAGTGACAACAGAGCGCAGAGTTGGATGCGGAGCACAAAAACACCAAGTAACAACAGACGGCAGGGCTAGATTCAGAAGCCGTGGAAGGCGGCTTGACGTTCTGCAAACGTGTAACTGAGCTTTAACACTGAGAGAAATCAACCACTCCTGTACGACAAAATAAAGGACCACAGCAACCGACAACATCACAGACCCAACCCAAAACACAGCCAAAACCAGTCATAATAGCACCACCCCCTCAGGGGCACCACACGGTGCCCTACTCGGCTTGTGAGGGAAGTCCCGGAGGAGGCAAAGGTCGAGGATGAGGGACCTCGAGACACAGGAACACTCCTGGGGGCCGTACGGAAGAAGATCTGAGGGTGCTAGATGAGACTGGCTTCAGGAGGGAGACATGGAAAAGGAGGGCGAATCCAAGCCCAAACCGTGACCAACATTGGGAAGGTCAGACTTGACTGCAGGGGGCGGCTACAGATCCTGTGCAACCCGCTTGGCGCCTTCCTTCTGGGAGAAGCGAGTTCTGCTGAGTTGCATTGGTTATATCCCTTGAGGGCAGTATGCGTCTCGCGCCTTGTGAAGGGCTGGCCGACCAGTCAGGAAGCAGCGGCACCAGAGTAGGATGGGTGTGCAGGTTTGGTGCTGAGGCGGTGTTATCTGATGCTATTGTAAATCCTGATCACAAAGAGAGATGAACCGCTTGAGAGACTTGGATTCATCACGAGTTGACAGCTGATTTTAGTGCTGGTTGCTCAGACTGGTTGCTGTGGTTGTACTGATTTGAATGCTATTGACAAACTTGTGCACTTAGAATGCTCTAACAATGCAGTTTTAACCCCTCACACTGACTGTATGCGTGCACTCCTTTTAATCCTCTGTGGGCCTCATGTTTGGACCATCCCACGCACAAACATCATCAAGCATTTCGAACAACCCTGATCCACTGCTGGCAGGGGCTGTTACACTTAATCTGGTTTGGTATTTTTCCAAACCCTTTGTAATTAATCCCAGGAAAACCCATCTTGCTTTTTCAGGGCAGGAAAAAACATTGGGGAATGGACATTGAAAGGTCTGTGCCTTTGATGCCTTTTTGCATGTGTTTTTCCAACACACTCTAGTATTTTTTTTTATTTGTTGCTTCTAGACTGCAAGTTAGATGTTGAATGACAAGTGGAACAGGTCACGAAGGAGTGTTCTGATTATTTGTCTTGTCATGACATGTTGCAAAAGCGCAAAAGTTAACCTTGGGCCCCCAGAATGTCAGGTAAGATTGACAGGCTCACGTCATCTTCGGTTCCGCTGGCGTCAGTGTGAAATACCACATGCCTGGGAAAGTTGCTCTCGCAATAGTCTAACGTTAGCGCTTATGTCATGTAAAGTTGTACCTATCTGATGATGTTATTTTCAGATAATCAGATATTGGGGGGTAAAAAGATCACAAGCGCACACACCCCTTCATGTTGTGCCTTTTTGTACCAAACCAAGCTTTACGTATAGCGTCACAGTCTCTTGTGTTGTTTCAGTGTTAGTGTGTTCCTATGCCATCTAGTGGTGATTATTAGCAGGAATCAATTGTAGCGTAAAAGGGTCCTGCAGTCGCCAACACACACTCAAAACAGAAAACTACTTTGTGAGCTCTGCGCAGCCATAATGAAATGAAGATAATACCAAAAGCATAGTTAACTACTGACTAAACGAAGGAAGAAGGAGACTTCTAAGGAGATTACCCCCTTTTGGATGTGAACACACGAGGTTTCTGTGCCTTTTTGTTGAATCAGCTGTCCTCATACCTTTTGTCTTTCATTTATTGTTTTGTAATGCCATTTGTATGTATATGTTTCATGTCCGTGTTTGTGATCAGTTCTCATTGTTACAGCTGCACCGGTTGTGAAGGCTCGATATAAATAAAGCTTTATTGTACTCTATTGTATTCCCTTTAGCATAGCACCA